AGAAATTATCATAAAACAAAAACAACTTTTTTGACTTATTATATTTATGATAACAACACTTTTTTTTTTTTGCTGAGGCCTTATTTTTACATCTTCCCAATGCAGGGTTGCACTTTTCCCAGAACTCCTTTTCCAGAGCTATCCCTTTAAATTTGGCAGAAGCTTTACTTCTACAGATGTTGGTTTACAGCTCTTTGTTTTTTCTTGTCTTGCTGGTAAGTACTCAATTTTTATTGTATTTACTTTTTTGGATTCCCAAGGAAATAGCATATTTTCATCAGGTTTCATAACATAAGGGAGCTCTTCTGTTTTCTGAAGTATTGCTGAATATTCTAATTAAAACTAGCTCTAAGACTAGCCATCACTCTTCACTGCAGCGCAATAGGCACCTCCCTCCAACGTAAGCCTTTGCTATTTATTGTAACTATTTATATAAATGCTGCCATCAGCTCTGAATCCACATAAAGCTAACACCATTTAAATTAATTTTGTAAGACTTTTGTGAGACACTGCTGAATAATTTAGTCAAATCCAAGTTGATTATAACCAGTTCTTCTTTACAATAACCAAGTTTGAAATCTGTGGTTTTAAGAAGCAATCCAGTTTATCTTGTAAAATGTGATGGGAAATACTATGTCTCCAACACCCATAATCAGTTAGATTTTAATCTGGGCAGGGATGTTTTCCTCCTGTGTTTGAAGCACCATTATTGGGCCTAATGGATTGAGTTAAAGGCAGCAACCTTCAAAATCCCACTCCTCTCTCTCTTTGAATGTTTCTACACTAAACAGACTTCTGGCACCACCTTGGCTTCTGATGGGTTTCAGAAATAATTGTTGATGATACAGTAAATTTGTTTTCTACCCCTTGTGTTTAAATCCCAGTCTTACGCTCATGCATTTGCTCAGTTTTATGCACGACTAAGTCTTTGGCGTTAATGAGACCGCTCATGTGCATAAAGTTAAGCATATGTGCAAGTGTTGCATGATCGGGTCTTAGGATGCCAATTTGCAGTAATAATAGGTTTGCATAAACTCATGATGCCAAGCACTGGGTTTCCTGTTCATTATCAATAGTGAAATTCATTTAGCTGTTTTTCATTTACTGATGTTATGAGCCTTTTTCGGGTTTTTTTAAGGTGAACTTAAAGTTGCTTTTCTTGCCATTCCTGAGCCATTGTTGATTTCACCCCTGTCTTCCTTAATGTATGTGAGGTTTTTCCCTCCTGTTGACACAGTTATAAATGCCCACCTTAACCATGTTAGTATCAGCTCATTTATGTTAGTGATGAAAGATCAGGTCACACTTCTTAAGCTGAAAATATGTTCCTTGCTGTATAAGAGAGCTGCAGAAATACCACGTGCAAATACCCAGCTAGGACTCATCAAACTCCTGTGCACAAGTCATGGCTTCTGTCATCAAGGGGTTAGGCCCTAAATGAAATTAGTAGCAGCTGTAACCCATTTAGTATAGATGCTAGCTAAGGGAGAGGCAGCTTGTGCACCTCTTCGGCAGGTGGGTCGCGTGGAAGCAGATAAAAGCAAAGTATATCCTCACTGAAATTATAGTGCGCGTCCTAGTGAAGGATAACCTTCCTTCTTACGCTCGGCTCTGGTTTGTCGTTGTTACGATCGGCACTTAATGCCTATAATATAACTTCTAAAGATTTTCAGTTTGACTCCTTGTTCTCAGAAGCAGTGGTACGGTGCATACGCTCCCTCTCTAAATGGATGGGGCAGAGCCATGTATCCACCCTCCTCTGGCAGGTACTGATGAGGACGTACCTATCCAGAGACCCTCCCCTCCACAGTGTACCCAGCACCCACAGACTACCTGCAGTTGCCTTCCAGCCCCCAGTCTAACCACACAACTGAGGAGGTTGGAGACCAACATTTGACTTTGCGGCGAGTGAGGGATCTCAGTGCTGCAACAAGGAGGCAGAGAGAGAACTGGGATACAAGGGTAAAAACGGTGATGCTTGGTGGGTAACAGAACAAAGGCATGAGTGTCTCCTAACCCAAATACGTAAAGTTTTCAAAGAGGGGGGAAAAAGTGAAATAATGATTTCTGGGACAAAATGGATAGTTTTGAGCTATCATCTAGAAAACCACACGCTTCCCTGTCTGAATAAGTGAACTTGACAAAAGAAAAGGGGAATAGTGATGGGGAAGAGGACATGGTGGCATTTAAAGGAGGGGAAAAAAGACACAACCAGATTTGTGGATTATTGGGGAAAATGAGAGAAGCATCAAACGGGAACAGTTTGCAAGAATGACTCCCCTGAAGCTAAACAAAACTGAAAAAAAATCAACTGAATCTTAAAGCAACTCCCAATGATATCCTATATGCTACCTTTTTAATGAATGATTTGTATGCAACATTTCTAGGCTAAAAATATTACAGGCTAGTGAATCAGGCAGCATAATCCTGCAGAAACAGCAGGAAAAAGTTTACAATAAGAGAGAAAAAAAGGGAAAGAGCCTGTGGTTCTTCTCAGCTTCCATGAAACCCTGTAAGCCTATGAGACTTGCTTATACTGTCACATGGCTTGAATGGTCTTGGTTGTTTGGGTTTTTTCTCCTTTAAAAATATTGCTTTCTTCAGAAGGAAATTGTGTGCATGGAATACATATGCTGTAAGCCACAAATGAGTAGCATCCTTCTGGATCTGACAACCTCAGGGTGCATCCATCTCAGAGATATTCTTCTCTGCACATGTTGTATGTCTGTGCTGAAAAGGATGAACAGAAATATACTCTGTACTTATACATAGTGTACAACAGTTACATAAAACCAGTTTTTAAAGTAAGCTGTCCTTCCAAGTGGTCAATGTTATCTTAACTACTTGAATGACCAAAAAGTTAGATTCTCTCAACTATGTACCATCCACTTCAAGCCCATTCAGAAATGATTACATGTTGCATGGCGATTT